TAGAGAAATTGAACTCAGCTTTCCAAAGATGCGATACACCACAGATAATTTATGTGAGAATAGGAGAAAGCAATCACGTTTTCCACCCAGTGTGTTTTTCCCTTAATACTAAACGCCTTCAGTTTGAAACTGAATTTTGTGTCAACTTGTGTTATTTTTGTAATATTAAATTGGAGATTATCTGGGTCTTTATGTCTTTAAGACATTCCTGCAGTTCATTATTTGGTGTTTTAAATCTGGCTTCATGGATGGATAAGTTTGGGTTTCATCTGCATAGCAGTGAAAAATGTATGCTTAGGGAATCATGTAATAATATAAATAGAATTTGTCCTGGCACTGAACCCTGTGGAAACCCATAATTAACCGTAGTGTGTGAAGAGTATACCCTCGATTTACATGAACAAATTACAGTCTGTTAGATAGATTTGATTCAAGCACTGCAGCAACGTAACTTTAATACCTACACCATGATCTAATCACTGTAATAAAATATTACAGTCAACATTATTGAACTCTGCACTGCTATGCTACTATGAGTCTGCTCTCAGAGACCATAAAACCTTTAGTAACCTTCACTGAAGCCATTTCTGCACTGTGATGACCTCTAAAACCTAACTGAGACTCTTCAAATAACCCATTGCTTTGCTGATGATCAGTTAGTTGTTTTACGACCATGTTTTACCATTTCAAGAGTTTTTGCAATAAAAGGAATGCTGGAGAATAGCCTATAAAGCCCTTTTTCCATTAGTACCTATTTTGTTCGACTTGGCATGGTTAGCCACAGTTTTCAGGGTTTTCCATTAGGTCACTTACTTTTTAGTACCTGCTTGCCTGGGGTTCCAAGCGATCCAAGCAGGTACTAAAAAGTAAGTGACCTAATGGAAAACCCTGAAAATCTGATATCGTCAGACGATTGGCTGGTCATTAGCATCACTTGATGAGTTAGAAAATTTAAACTGTCATTAAAACCCAGCAACGAGGGAAAAGGCTGCAAAAGACTACGCCACGATCCTCAATATTGACAAAAAAACAACAGATCAAGCAGGTATATCAGGAGGTATATTCTTTCCTCAACCTCCACCTTTTTTGTAGCCTTCGTGTCACATATTATTTACATCGTGGGACGTTGCAATGACAAAAGCCATGCGCGTTAGGTAGTACTGGATTATAACGGAAAACCAGTTGATCCAAGTGAAGTTGTAGCGATCCATGGCGAGTCAATCCAAATAGGTACTAATGGAAAAGGGGCTTAATTAGCAGACATCTGGGTCAAGTGATGGCTTTTCCAGAAACAGTTTAACTACTGCCAGCTTGATGGCCTGTTGTACATAGCTGATTAATATAGATCGGTTGATTATATTTAAGATTGTAGCTGTGGGCCACTAGTGTGTCATTGTTCAGCTGGCATGGTGGTGAGGCAAAAGCTAAAGAACTCATAATCATCACTTATAAGGTGACAAGTGATGCCAAGATATACCTGGTAGGGCAGGGCAATATGGCCA